CCGAGCATAAACTGTAGTCGTGGAAGGGTTTTTAAGGGCAAAAAATCCCGCAAATACATGTTAACGGTCACTTACTTGACATCTGCTTTCACAAATCCATTCCTTGCTTGCTTCTTTAGAGCGTCGTCGACGACCCGAAAACATAATCGCAATCTCAAACCCTTTCTTCCGTCCGAGAGACCTCACGCTTCATTTTTCGATACACGTAACCGTGAATTGGTACAACGCTACGATGTTTACGCTGAAATAAAAGCTGCTGACCCAAAATACTGTAGAGAAGGAACAATGGCGACAAAAAAGTGAGTAGGCTCCTGTTTCAACTCATGTAGGAATGCCCAAGATGCCGAGTGGTCTTAGGATTTCATTCTGCAGTACCCCCAGCCGGCGTTTTACTGTCAGTCTGCAGTCTGCATTTTACACTCAGTCTGCATTTTACCCCTGGTCCGCAATCCGCAGTCCGCAGTCCACAGTCAGTTCGTCTCAGACACTGGCAGAATTTAAATTCCCAATACCCCGTAATAAATTCACTCACTAATCAAGCCAACTGGAGAACAGGCAATTGTGGGTTCGTAATATAATATACCCAATAGTAGAAATGACAAGATATACGAAATGACTACAATTGTGAAGATCAAGTTCACTTTCTTTATCCGCAGTTCAAAATATGATATATTTCATTTCAGTTCAATGAACAATAAAACTCGCAGAGAGTTAAAAAACAAAAAAGGAATTTTAAAGCATGCTTGTTAAAATATTTGATTTTGCCCCATTAATAAAGAAAAGGAAAAGCCAACCAATAATCAGTATCAGCGTTAATGCGTCTATCTTAAAACAGCAACAACAACTGAAAAACTAAGCCAGCTCTATCGTCCATTGTGACTCTAGCCATTTTTTACCTGCAGTAAATTTCGTTTCTAAAGAAAAGTAATTATTTTTTCCAGGTATGGCAAAAAAAGGAGAGTACGACAGCCTGGATTCTGATACTATGAGATCATGCAAAGAAAATCCAACGAGAAATGCTGGTATTTTTTCTGTCCTTTTCTATCGGTGGGTTGGAGAGATGGTTGCTATTGGTAACAAGCGTCCAATTGAAGATGATGATCTTTTCCCTCTACTTGACGACGATAAAACTGAAACTTCAGCTGAAAAACTCAAGCGGACGTGGAGCGAAGAGAACGAAAAACGTGCTTCTATGACAGAGAAAAACGGTTATCGACTGTTCAGAGCACTTATCCGAATGTTACATTGGAGTTATCCATTGTTTGTTGTGAGCACTGCCTTGCTAGCCGGCGTTTGTAATGTCCTTCAGTGCGTGTTTCTGAGTTTCTTGTTGACGCAGTTCGTGAAGTCTTCCTCTTCAGACCGCTGGCTGACGTACATCTATGCTGCTGGAATTTGTCTAAGTTCATTTCATTAATCTTTATTCGATTTACAATTCCATGATCAGTGGAGATTTTCTATTCTAACACGATGGAATGCGATCACCGTGGGCAAGGGGAGGGAAAGTGAGGGGAAAAAAGGACAATTTTGAGCTATTTCATTCTTTTTTTGATAAAAGTCTTTCTTAAAGAAGTATTAGGTCTCTTAGCTAAACATTTCAAGTTAAGGCGAGACTGTATGTAAATTTTATTGCCGAACGGAAATATAATTTTCTCGATTCCTTTTTGCTTTGTTTTGTATCCAAATCTTTGCTGTAACGATTCTGAATATCATTCCTTAAACTGAAAGGTCGTTTCAGTCTCCAGTTTTTCTTTAGCCTGCTTCAGGTGTTACATTGTGTACAGAGTTTCTTTTATTTTTCGCCTCAATGCCTTTTTAGTGTCGGTTTGTACTAAAGGATTCGCTTATTTGCTTTGCTGACCGCGAGGAAGGGGAATAGGACTGGTATGTCCGCGGAAATTTTTGTTTCCTCAATTCTTACAACTTTTTGCTTTTTGATTTTTTTAACTGTTATTTTTCTTGGAAAACTTTTTTTTTGCCCACGACGTTTACTCACACCCACGACCCACATCCACACCCACGACCCACAACATTTAGCTACACTCCCTTGAGCGTCATTTCTTGAGAGGCTGTCATGCACTCTGCACGCGATTGCGAAAGGTTTCCAAGGTTACAAATCCAATTTCGGATTTCACGTTCCTTTCGACTTCAAAATCCGGCAAAAAGCTAGAATCAAAAATCCGTTTTTGGATTCGCCGAAAGGGACACACTCTTTGCAATTCACGATTTTTTCTAAACGGTTCACACAATTCAAAATTCAAATTTCACTCTAAAAAGGTTCACGCAATTGAAAATCGGTCAGCGTAAAACGAGACTGCAGACTGCGGACTGCAGACTGTGGACCAGGGGTAAAATGCAGACCGAGCATAAACTGTAGTCGTGGAAGGGTTTTTAAGGGCAAAAAATCCCGCAAATACATGTTAACGGTCACTTACTTGACATCTGCTTTCACAAATCCATTCCTTGCTTGCTTCTTTAGAGCGTCGTCGACGACCCGAAAACATAATCACAATCTCAAACCCTTTCTTCCGTCCGAGAGACCTCGCGCTTCATTTTTCGATACACGTAACCGTGAATTGGTACAACGCTACGATGTTTACGCTTAAATAAAAGCTGCTGACCCAAAATACTGTAGAGAAGGAACAATGGCGACAAAAAATTGAGTAGGCTCCTGTTTCAACTCATGTAGGAATGCCGAAGATGCCGAGTTGGTAGAGTGGTTTACACATTACATGCGCCTCACATGCATCGGCATGCGACCCTTACAAGGGTAACGCTGGTAACGCAGACTCTGGGTTCCAGGAAAAAAACCGACTTCCACATTGTTATCGTTTCTCTTATTTTCCCCCGGTGTGGTCTTAGGATTTCATTCTGCAGTACCCCCTGCCTGTGTTTTACTGTCAGTCTGCAGTCTGCATTTTACACTCAGTCTGCATTTTACCTCTGGTCTGCAGTCTGCAATCCGCAGTCCGCAGTCCACAGTCTTCGTCTCAGATACTGGCCGAATTTAAAATTCCCAATACCCCGTAATCAATTCACACTCTAATCACGCCAACTGGAGAACAGGCAATTGTGGGTTCGTAATATAATATACCCAATGGTGGAAATGACAAGATATACGAAATGACTATTGTGAAGATCAAGTTCACTTTCATATCTTTACCCGCAGTTCAAAATATGATATATTTCATTTCAAATCAATCAACTATAAAAGTATCGCAGAGAGAATTAAAAAAAAGAATTTTAAAGCATGCTTGTCAAAATATTTGATTTTGCCCCATTAATAAATTAATAAATGATGCCTCTATCTTAAAACAGCAACAACAACTGAAAAACAAAATCAGCTCTATCGTCCATTGTGACTCTAGCCTTTTTTTACCTGCAGTAAATTTCGTTTCTTAAGAAAAGAAATTATTTTTTACAGGTATGGCAAAAAAGGGAGAGTACGACGGCCTGGATTCTGCTACTATGAGATCATGCAAAGAAAATCCAACAAGAAATGCTGGTATTTTTTCCGTCCTTTTCTATCGGTGGGTTGGAGAGATGGTTGCCATTGGTAACAAGCGTCCAATTGAAGATGATGATCTTTTCCCTCTACTTGACGACGATAAAACTGAAACTTCAGCTGAAAAACTCAAGCGGACGTGGAGCGAAGAGAACGAAAAACGTGCTTCTATGACAGAGAAAAAAGGTTATCGACTGTTCAGAGCACTTATCCGAATGTTACATTGGAGTTATCCATTGTTTGTTGTGAGCACTGCTTTGCTAGCCGGCGTTTGTAATGTCCTTCAGTGCGTGTTTCTGAGTTTCTTGTTGACGCAGTTCGTGAAGTCTTCCTCTTCAGACCGCTGGCTGACGTACATCTATGCTGCTGGAATTTGTCTAAGTTCATTAGTGCGTGTCATTGCCACTCAGCAATGGAAGTTTCATGCATATCTAATAGCCCTCAGGTGGAAATCAGGAACAGTCGCTATCATTTATGAAAAGGTGAGTGAGGTACTTGACAGTGGACCACTTTTTATATATTTACGTTCATACTTAAGTACCCGAGGCTTTAGGGCTACCGTGACAGTTAGGGCTGCCGTCACAGGTCGAAGTGACTGTGCCTACCACATCCACTTTCTTGTACTTTTTTATTTACTTCCGTTGTTAACGTACATCGAGGGTTTGAATTAATTTTTTTTCAAGGGTAAAAGAGCTATTTAACAGCATTGAAATTGAAATTGTGATTGTGAGTAACAACAGGGCGGTGCCTAGCATGGGTCTAGAGTCCCGCTTGCACTTGCCCTTTTGGGAATCAGCAATTGTTTTTAACTATTCTTGCACCTATAATTTATTAGTTTTATTTCCTTAATTATATGTCTTCTTGTAAATGCTATCGTGATGGCATTCTTGCGCCAATAAAGTGTCAAAAAGAAAAAAAACCCTCCGGATATACAGTCAACTCTCGCTGAGTCTTAGAGAGATGTCCGTCTTATAGAGAGTTAAATAAAGGGAGCAAAGAAAGGCAGGGACCAACTCTAGGTGTCCGTTTGAGGGAGGTGTCCGTCTTATAGAGGTGTCCGTTATGTATAACGAACGGTTTAACGAGCTCAGTCTTTGCCCCGGTAAAAGTAAACAATATAAAATATGGAAAAGAACCTCGATATAACGAAACTTCGTTATGGGGAACGTATTTTGCCAGTCCCTTAGCCCCTTGTCATATCGAGGCTTCACTGTCATAGTAGCCTCCTCTGCAGACGTTCTTATGGGTTGGTCACGTGTTCCAGCCCCAATAACGTCTGCTGAAACGAGTGGTTAAATTCCTTTCGCATCGTTCTCAAATATCGGCTGGAGCTCTTGGGCAGATTACCGGAGAACCAATCGGCGCTGTTGAATTCAAAGTGTTAACAAGCCAAACACATACGTTCAAGCTCGGTAGGCTCTCAGATAGCGGGAAGACGCGAAAGTAACAGGCTCGTGAAAAGTTGGCGGGACGGGAAAAAGAAAAAGGAAGGAGAGCCTGTAATCATTTCTTTTACCACCCTCTTCCGCCACTTTTGACAAGTTTGAGATAATTAGATTTCGGCTGTCAAACTGTTGAAAAGTCAATGAGTTGGAATCTTTCTCAAATTTTCTCAGAGAGTATTTCGCGCCGCGCTATTCCCTTACTCGAGTGAGGGCAATTGGAGTGTAAAAAGGGGGTCAGCAGTAAACACACGACTTTTACCTCGTGCAAAAGTGCTGCTTGTTCCAATGATTTTTTTCCCTTACGGGTAGATTATGCTCTGGAGAGGTCTACTTTTAACTGAGCAAATTAGCTCATACTGAGCTGAAAGCGATTTTCTTTGGTCCGTAAATGTGATGGTTTCTTACAATGTTTTGTCACGCTGAGCTCAGCTCGTCAGTGCTTTTGCAGGATGTTTGAAATTTTCACGGATAGTGATTCACAAATGCAAATTTCGAAGGATGGATTGCAGCTAAAAACTGAAGCTACCTTTAATATAGAGAACTACGTTACTCCAGCTTGTTCTCCTTAGAGATCGATCTAAAGATAAAAATGTGAGTCCGGCCTGGTCCGCGTAGAGAACTCCTTCTTGCGACTGTTCTGTTATTGCCAGTTTGTTATCAGGAGAGACTGAAGCTGGTAGGCAGGATTGCAAAGACATCTTTTCCACGCTTCAAGTTCACATGTTTGAGGTCAGCTGTTCCTTCCTCAGCGCTAGCTCCTATGTAGCTCTATGTGCGGGAAATTTCGTACACATTTTTTCAACCGACAGAAGTTATCATTTATCCCTTTATTTCACGGGGGTGGACGCCGCACGCCATTTTTCTGATTGACAGGAACGACCTGCTTTGAGAGTGTTGATCAGTAACCTGTCAAATCTTACCAATTAGAGGATATTCCAGGTACCAGGAGCTGCTATACCGGAACGGGTCGTTTAAAGAAATGATTACAGCTTCCCCCGCCGCTCCTCTTCCCAGTTTTCTCCCGTTTTATTTTCGTGTACGCGCTTTCAGTATTATTATTATTATTATTATTATTATTATTATTATTATTATTATTATTGTCTCTTTTATCACAGTCTTTGCTGGTGTTCTTTTTGTGCCTCAGCCGGGCGCAAACCATGTACCCAGAGCGTCAGTCACTCAAGTCAATCATTCTGTTCATACACTGAGTACCTTTCTGAGGATTCGCGCAGATCCCAGCATGCAGATCTTTTGAATCTCTGTCATAGCATCTCTCTCTCATACTTTCTTGATGTTTTCTACCATACCCTTCTTCACTGTACCAAGCGCACCAACAACCACAGGGATCACTACGGTTTTCATATGCCACATTCTTTGTATTTCTAGTTCTAGGTATTATTATTATTATTATTATTATTATTATTATTATTATTATTATTATTATTATTATAGCTTAAAAGACGTTGTTTAGGCTACCAATAAGCAACATTAAATCAATCAAGACGGCTTGCTGCTAACCTGCTATCAGGCGGTCTTTCTTTCCTTTTTGTTTGGGAGACGAGGAGAAAAAAAACGCCTCGTCGCAGGTTAGCTTGCTTTTTAAATAACGATATCATATTTCCTAAATACAGGTGTTGAGTTTGAATCAAGAAGATTTATTAAATGTATCAAGTGGCTGGATCATTAACCTTGTGGCTGGTGACCTTCAACGCTTTGAACTTGCCGCCCATAGTTTTGTCGACCTGGCTGAAGCTGTACTTGAAGTGACTGGTATCTCCTGCCTCATGATGTACTTATTTGGCTGGAAACCTCTGTCAGGAGTAGGCTTCATGGTCATTCTTGCACTATATTACGCAGTGACTGGACAAATAAGCTTAAAACTGCGAACAAAAATTTCTCATGTTGCGGATCTGCGCGTGGATATGATGAACTCCATCCTTTCTGGAATTCGTTCCGTCAAGATGTATGCTTGGGAGGGATCATTCATGGAAAAAGTGAAACGGTTGCGAAGGTATGTAAACGCGCAACTCTTGCTCNATGGTCATTCTTGCACTATATTACGCAGTGACTGGACAAATAAGCTTAAAACTGCGAACAAAAATTTCTCATGTTGCGGATCTGCGCGTGGATATGATGAACTCCATCCTTTCTGGAATTCGTTCCGTCAAGATGTATGCTTGGGAGGGATCATTCATGGAAAAAGTGAAACGGTTGCGAAGGTATGTAAACGCGCAACTCTTGCTCTCAAATAAATTGTTTCAAACGATCCAAATACAGGCTAGGACTGCTAGAGAGTCATTCTGCTGCATCGATGTGAAAAACAGAACAAAATAAAAAAACACCTGCCGCACTGCCGGTCGCAAATTGTTATTTATTATCAGCTAACATGAAGAAGGGTCTCAATGGGGTGGTAGCTTTGACGGTTGATTGTTAATTTTCTCCGATTTTGACGGATGACGGTTAAATTTTAGAACTTTTGACGGTTGACGGTTGTTAAGTGGAAATTTAGTTCAAGGATTTTCTAGAACGGTACTAATATTAACCTATGTATAAATTTATATCAACTATTGCATGTTTTGGAGTTTGTCTGGGTCTTCTTTGGACTGCAGTTCAGTGCTTTTTGTTCGACTTGTCACGAGCTTTAAAACAGGGTTTGAGTTATAGACTGAGGGTAAAATTGCATAGAAAAAATCAGAGGCACCCAACGTCAATTTTCGGAAAATATCTGTTTAGAAGACGATTTGAGACCTAGAATTTTCGGAACATTTGTTGTAAAATTTCTTGCTTGCCTCCCTCTCATAGGATTTTCGAACATATAAAAAATGGTATAATTGCCCTTTTTCACGGGATTTTTACCCTAAAAAGGTCACCTATAATTTTCGGGAGCCTTTGTTTTTGGCTGAAATTTTCGAAAAGGTAAGTTTTGATCCCTATAAATTTCGGATCATTAGGCTTTCAGCTAGGAAATCCGAACAGATGAAAAACTTTTAGGGGATAAAAATAAGCCTATATCTACCGTTTAAATACTAGAATACGTTCAACAATGCTATGTTTACGTGGTTTTGAACTATATTCTCGTCGGGTGTCCCTGAAAAATCTGAGGGGAAACAAAAATTACTTCGAGTATAAAGCGGGAGGTTCGAGTTGCCGACTGGTGAAAATACGGTAAGTAAATGAAGGAAATCCAGGGGAAATTGATTTTGGTTCGAGTTAGCCCGAGGTTCGAGTTAACGAGGGTGCGAGTTATCGGGAGTCGACTTCACGCCAAAGAGTAGAAGTCCTAAGAACGTACCCTGCCTTCACCACGGGTAGCCTAAGTTTATGAGAGCCATGAACAACATTATCCTACTTACCGTAGCTACTCTTAAGTAGGATAAGTTAGTAACTAGTAATTTCAAGTTTCAATTTAGTACTTTCTCGTGTTTATTTGTGTGCTGACCGCATTGTAGGCCTCTTAGATCGCCAAGAGCCCGTGGAGCAACACGATCTGCTACTAAGCTAATAATTATTCATACAGCAAGAAAATTACAGTTAACACATTGTATGAGAAACAATCTTGCTCACTAAACTAGCAAAATGTACAGTGAATATCGCTTTGAAGGTTACTTTGAGCGTTTTGTGTGTGTATGTGTGTCTCTAGCTTTGTGTTCTAACTGCATTTCAGGCCTACGAGGCACTGTTTAATGCGTTTTTAGAGCGACAGGTTTTCACCCAGGTAAGCGATGTTGTTCAGGCCGTAGGGCTCTCATGGTGAGCTTGGACTACCTGTGCCTTCAGAATTCGATCATTTTTTTCTTTAAATAAAGTGAAAAGAAAAGAATCTTTAAGTATGGCTTAAATACATCGATCATTCAAGGATATCTAAGACTGATGGTAGCACCTTAGCTGTCAAACTGCTTATAACCTCCAAAATTTTACGCAAAAATTCAAAGTGCACCGCAACGCCCTTGATCAGATTTTGCAAATATTGAGGATGCCCGTTCTCTTGTTCTTCCAGGATAGAAATCAAGCTGATCAGAATGAAAACAGTGATAGGAGCAATCTATTGGTCTCTCTTTTTTTCCGGTCCTCTAATAGCCACCTTCTTCTCCCTTGTAACGCTGGCGGCCACAAGAACTGAACTGACTGCCTACAGCACTTTTATGATTGTATCACTTATCAGCGCCTTAAGGACCACCGTTACGTGGAATATTGCAAAACCAATTGGTATATTGGCTGACTTTGCTGCAGCACTGGCTCGTATCCAGGAGTTTCTCGAATTTAAAAACAAAAAAACTCACAAATACCTAAAAGACTCCTTCGGCGATGAGATAAGAGAAAGAGAGATCTCCAGCAAGACTAATTACTCACGTTTTGATGACGTAAATGAATCAGTAACCCGGTCGTCTAGCAAAGATGCTGCTTTGGTATTGAAGAATGTCGCATGTAGTTGGACTGGCACGTGGAATAAGTTAACTTTGAAGTGGTTGAATTTATCCGTCGAAAACGGTGACCTCGTCTTCATCACAGGTCCTGTAGGTTGCGGCAAGTCGTCCTTCCTGTACGCCATTTTGAAGGAAATTTCGCTTTTGTCTGGCAGTGTATTGCGTCATGGTAAAATTGCCTGGGTTGGCCAGCAACCATGGGTGTTCGCGGGTACCGTGCGAGAAAATATCTTGTTTGGTGAAAAGTTCGACCCACAAAGGTACCTTTCGACAATCGAGGCGTGTGACTTGATCAAAGACTTTCAAAGATTCCCGGATGGTGATNCTGATCAGAATGAAAACAGTGATAGGAGCAATCTATTGGTCTCTCTTTTTTTCCGGTCCTCTAATAGCCACATTCTTCTCCCTTGTAACGCTGGCGGCCACAAGAACTGAACTGACTGCCTACAGCACTTTTATGATTGTGTCACTTATCAGCGCCTTAAGGACCACCGTTACGTGGAATATTGCAAAACCAATTGGTATATTGGCTGACTTTGCTGCAGCACTGGCTCGTATCCAGGAGTTTCTCGAATTTAAAAACAAAAAAACTCACAAATACCTAAAAGATTCCTTCGGCGATGAGATAAGAGAAAGAGAGATCTCCAGCGAGACTAATTACTCACGTTTTGATGACGTAAATGAATCAGTAACCCGGTCGTCTAGCAAAGATGCTGCTTTGCTATTGAAGAATGTCGCATGTAGTTGGACTGGCTCGTGGAACAAGTTAACTTTGAAGTGGTTGAATTTATCCGTCGAAAACGGTGACCTCGTCTTCATCACAGGTCCTGTAGGTTGCGGCAAGTCGTCCTTCCTGTACGCCATTTTGAAGGAAATTTCGCTTTTGTCTGGCAGTGTATTGCGTCATGGTAAAATTGCCTGGGTTGGCCAGCAACCATGGGTGTTCGCGGGTACCGTGCGAGAAAATATCTTGTTTGGTGAAAAGTTCGACCCACAAAGGTACCTTTCGACAATCGAGGCGTGTGACTTGATCAAAGACTTTCAAAGATTCCCGGATGGTGATATGACGCTTGTTGGAGAGCGAGGAATAGTACTTAGTGGTGGTCAGCGGGCTCGTGTTGAATTGGCACGTGCAGTGTACTCCAATGCTGATATATATCTCTTGGATGATCCTCTGAGCGCAGTTGATGCAAAGGTTGGACAGCATGTTTTTGAAACATGCGTCCATGGATTATTACGCAAAAAAACTCGGATAATGGTCACGCATAATCTTCAGGTTCAACGAGATACCGACGACATTGTGTTAATGAAAGAAGGTACTATTTTAGAAAGAGTCAACTTTATGTCATTGTGGAAGTCAGACATAGGCTTAAATGAAATAGAGAAGTACACTGACAAGAAGAAAAATATTAACACAGCACAGGAGAGTACATTACCTCCAAACAAGTCAGGCGACGAAACAACCGTGGACGGAGAATCTGGTATGGAAAATACCGAAGAAGATCGTGAAGTCGGTTCCATCTCTTGGAAGTTATATTGGCATTACATACGAGCTGGAACGGGTGCCATTTTAGCTGTGATCATGTTCGCCTTTTTTCTTCTTGTACAAGGTTGAGTATAAGTTCAGTTATTCTGTAAGAAAGTGTTTTATCATATGGCTACAATAGTACGCGCGTTCTGATTGGCTGCTTTCTTGTAAGGAACGGGCATTACTAGCTAGGTGTCCAAGGCATATACAATCTGTGTTTAACTTGATAGTGGATATCCTTAAGGACATCCATGTCATGGTCAGTTGACAGCTGTTAAAAGGGCATCCGCTGAACAGTGTCACCTGACTATATCGCCGGCTCAAGTGTACAGCTCAATGAGATGACGAGTTTTTTAAAGTTATCCGTTGACCAGTTGTAGGTTTTAATTGATCGCAGGCTCAGGTTCATAATGAAAAGGTCATATAATAAATAACTTATTAACCTAGTCCGTTCGGTCATTGTACCTGGGGGCAGGGGGTAAACCCCATAATAATATTGTTATATAGGATATTTTACGCGGGATAAGGTGTGGTATTGTATCTTCTTAGGCCCAGGCCAAACGTGAAGCAGAGTGAGTTACTGGGTTACTGGTTTTCACATCCGGGTAAGTTCGCGTCCGAATGAGTTTGGACTGTCCACTGACAACGTTCTATCCGTCTGAAGCAGACGGAAGACCGTGTCCGAGACAAACGTCTATCTTCACATGCAGAACTAAAGTATTAAATTAAAAATTTGTACGATAATGCATATTTAGCCTTGTTTGGGAGAAAATTTATTACTGATCTGAAAGTTGAATCCATTAATTCGAATAACCAGTTAATGATTAGACCCCTTGAAGGTATGCTTGATCTGGCAAAACTGGCGACTAAAAGAAGCGCAACACTAACGAATGAACCTGTCTTAACTTCTTTACATATTAATCATGAAGCATCCTTGGTTCTTCCGGACTGGTGGCTTCTTCAATTGACCAGTAGATCACATGATCCCCGGAGTCAAAGTCAAGATTTTTCCATATATGGTTACCTGGTTGGTGCAGCTTTCTTATTGTCAACTGCCAGAGCGGCCACTTTCCTGTTCGCGTTGATTAACTCATCGATGAACCTTCATAACTTAATGCTGTCGGCGGTGGTAAAAGCTCCAGTTTTGTTTTTTGACACCAACCCAGTTGGACGAGTGTTGAACAGGTTTTCCAGAGATATTAACATCATGGAAGAATTACTACCAGAAGTATTCCTGATGGCGTGCGGGGTAGCCCTGTTATGCATTGGAGCAATCATACTTCAATCCGTGTTAATCCCCTGGATAATACTGCCAGCACTCCCGCTCATGGTTATTTTTGCTTTGATTGGTCGATATTACCTCAATCCATCACGTGACTTGAGGCGTCTGGAGGGAATCAATCGAAGTCCAGTGCTATCTCATTTGAGTAACTCGTTGGAGGGACTGGTGACCATTCGAACTTACAACAAGGAAAGTGGGTTTATGGAAGCTTTGTACAGGTTTGTGTTTATTAGCCTTATCCTACAATACTGAAAAGACTTTTGCTGATATATTTCTCGATCTCCGATCAGGATTAAACGTATCGCAAGCTCACTTCCTATGCTCATTTACTTGGGAGCAAGGGTGAGTCCATAACCAAGAGCGAGGAATTTCTTGTATTCGTGTCACGGCGTTTCCACCGACCAATTTATTATTTTTAAAACGATTTTGAAACAAATTTGGAATATCTTTTGAGTCTCACAAACCAGTCATCAAAAACTTACAGACCTAAAAATATTTTTGCCAATGACGTATTGTTTTCCATTTTTATATTTTAAACTTCGAATGCGGGGCTCTTTAAGGGAGTGTACTTTCAATTTTCTCGTGAAAAAGTGTTCTAAGATGTATCTTAAAATAAACCGGTCCGTGAAAAAGCCGTGACATAAGCCTAGTATGGGAGTTGCTTAATCTTGGTTCTAGGTTCTTGTTAGAAGTCATTTATTAGACGCAAATTATACCACCTTGAAACATCCATATCTTTAAGGANCTTATCCTACAATACTGAAAAGACTTTTGCTGATATATTTCTCGATCTCCGATCAGGATTAAACGTATCGCAAGCTCACTTCCTATGCTCATTTACTTGGGAGCAAGGGTGAGTCCATAACCAAGAGCGAGGAATTTCTTGTATTCGTGTCACGGCGTTTCCACCGACCAATTTATTATTTTTAAAACGATTTTGAAACAAATTTGGAATATCTTTTGAGTCTCACAAACCAGTCATCAAAAACTTACAGACCTAAAAATAATATTTTTGCTAATGACGTATTGTTTTCCATTTTTATATCTTAAACTTCGAATGCGGGGCTCTTTAAGGGAGTGTGCTTTCAATTTTCTCGTGAAAAAGTGTTCTAAGATGTATCTTAAAATAAACCGGTCCGTGAAAACGCCGTAACGGTGATAAGCCTAGTATGGGAGTTGCTTGTTCTGGGTTCTCAGTTCTTGTTAGAAGTCATTTATCAGAAGCAAATTATACCACCTTGAAACATCCATATCTGTAAGGACTAGGCCACTATGAAGCAGACTTTTCGAGCTTGACATAGATAATCGTTTGACTGAAAAACTCACCACCATTCAGGGCTTCCCACCAGATTATCTCTTCCTACAATAGAGAACTTTAAATACACGTTTACGGCAGATAGAAAAAGAACAGATTCAAGTTGACAATTTCTCAAATTAGGAAATAAGCATATATGCTAGTGTGAAAAATAATTCTTACGTTTGAACCCCGACGCAAACAGCCACTAGCCTGCGGGCAAGCTCTCCATTTGGGGGAGTCGCGAGAAGCCACGCGTGGCACGCTCACATGAAACTACGTTAATTGTGTTGCCATAATGATCAGTAAACGACATTCGTAAAGGAGGGACTTGGTCACGTGATGCAAACTGGCGTTTGCTGTATAAACATGGTTTCTCTTTGACTGAAATCGGAGTTGAAGAATATGGGAAGCCCGAGTACGGGGCGTTGGCTTGGGCGGGAATAGATATATCCCTTTCGGGCTCAACCTTGTTCCCAGGGTTCTCTCCTACCCGTCTACTAGGAGAAAGAACCTGGGAACGAGGTTGTCTAGGGCTGAACTTCTTCCGTTTGTGACTAGAATGGATACCTTAAAATCAGGTCGGACACCTTATGTTTATTACAAAACGCCATACTCGTGAAAGAGAACCATTTATGCCAATTTACTGGGCACATTTTTGAGAAAAGTGCGGAAATCGGAGTAAAAGACAGTTGTGCAAGGAAAAGAGTTGAATACAGGGTTTAGCACCGAAGTTCAGTGATTGGGGTTAAGTACTGATTAAAAACGGTTTATAATCAATGCCATGTAAAGTACGTTAAAATTAACCGTTGTCGGCAGTTATCCCTTGATGGTTTAGAGGATGTGGATTATACATCAAATGTTGCGGGTTCAAGTCCTACGCACTACCGACTGTTTTCTACCGTTTTCGTTCTTATCTTATGACTCCTATCATGTATTTTGAGTGAAGATGACGACCTGATTTTGGGTTATCCATTCTAGTCACAACCCTGAGCTTCCTCGGATCAGTAAAACATTAAGGGGAGTACCCCGGATTTCTTTCAATAAGATTAAAAGCCAAACATGTTTTTATAGCTTTCATCAAAGGGATTGATTGCCCGGTTTTTGATTTGCTTTATTATCAGATACCAAGATGACCACAATCGAGCCTGGTTTGCCATTTCTGCAATGTCTAGATGGCTCGGTATCCGTCTGGACATGATCTGCGTCACCTTTGCGTCGTTTGTCGTTTATATTGCAATCATTACTCAGTCTGAAGCAGGTAAATTGAAACAACACAAATAACCAGTTAGAATTTGACAGTTGAAATTTATTACCCATAATTAAATAAAAATTAGTGCTTGCAAAGAAACTTTTCTGAAAGCGGCGTTTTAATGTTAGACATGATGGGTGAATAAATTAGCCGATAAAAGACATAAACGTACTCATGCCATGGCCAAATTTCATAGCCTGCGTAGCAGGCGCTTGGTAGTAGTGGGCGAAAGAGAGAACGGGCGCACGCGAGGCAGACACGCGAGGGGTGAGCCAAGCGCCTGCTACGCCGGCTATGAAATTTGGCCATGGCATGAAAAATTCTGAACTTCACAGTTTCATGATTTGACTCAGGGAACACTATTAATATTTTGTCTTAGCCTTATTATCGTACGTACTATATTTTTTATAAGTTCATTTGTAACATTTTTATATCTGATCTGACATTGCGTTTTACTCATCATGATAAGCGTAAAAGGTAGCAGGAAAGGCATAAAAAGTGAAAATTGTGACTAGCACTGTTCTTTTTTTTTGGCAGGGATTGCAGCATTATCCATTGTATACGCCCTGCAGTTCGCTGTTGACACATCCCAGTATGTCGTTAGGATGTGGTCAGAAACAGAAAATTACATGACATCAGTTGAGCGCGTCGTCAAATACAGTCAAATAGAGCAAGAGCCTGGGTACCAGAATCAGCGACAGCCTCCAGAACACTGGCCGCAGCGCGGTAAAGTACAAATAAAAGATCTGGAACTTGTTTACTACCAGGGCGGACCCAAAATACTTCAAGGTGTCACTTTTACCATTAATCCACACGAGAAGGTCGGAGTTGTTGGTCGCACTGGCGCTGGCAAGTCTTCATTGATTGCAGCCCTGTTTCGTATGCCTCAACCCACTGGTTACGTCATCATCGATGACGTCAATGTCAATGATGTTAACATTCAAAGTTCTCGCCGAGCCATGGCAGTTATTACCCAGAATCCAGTTCTGTTTACAGGTACACTGCGCATGAATTTGGATCCTTTTGAGGAACACGAAGACAAGGAGATCTGGAATGCTTTGAAGGATGCGAGTTTGGGAGCCATGGCGAAAAATCTACCGCTGCAACTGAACCAGTTGGTTAAGGAAAGCGGCAGCAATTTCAGCACCGGAGAAAGGCAACTTTTGTGTCTGGCTCGTGCGTTATTGAGGAAGAACAAAATCATAGTACTGGATGAAGCAACGGCAAATGTGGATCACAAAACAGATCAATTAATTCAGGAAACAATTCGCACGAAATTTAAACGTTGTACTGTGATTACAGTTGCCCATCGATTGAACACAATCATGGATTATGATCGAATTTTGGTCCTGGATCACGGAAGAGTTGTTGAGTATGACAAACCAGAAATTTTACTTCAGAACGAAGAAGGGCATTTCACTAAACTTTGTCGTAAGTATGCCGATGATAACGCCGACCAATATCAATAAGAGCTGAATATCAGTTATCACATTGAACTATATTCTGCGGCAGACATTTTGACGAGTTTTACTAATCCTTCAAGGATAGCTATTTCCGTAGCAACTTAATGCTGTCAGTTCCTGAATTTACTCTTCAGTATACACAGTCGTATCTTTCCGCTATGCGCAGCCCTTGGTCTGTTTAGTAAGAACAGCCCACTAAGCCGACATATGTTGTATTAGAACTGACACGATTACAGCCAGCAAGTTAATATTTAATTTCTAGACTAGAGTCTTAGAATTTTACGTAAGCTATTATTTACGGTCAACTGCGCTAATAGCCTTTCGCAATATTATGTGGCAATCGCCCTTCAGGTACTAAGCAAGTGGCATTTAATAGAGGCGAATTCATGATGTTACACCATTTTTAACGGCTATTTCACTTTTAGTAATCAGCCAGCTCTTCCCGGATTTTTCGGTTATAGCACGATGTGACGTTCTTCTTTATGCAATTTTTTTTGGCTTATGGATAGTTCACATAACACTGTCGCGTACGATCACCTTAAAGTATAGCCCGCGAGCAAACTCAGGTTGTGCAAATTCGGGGAAAATAATTTTAGCGGCGGAGACTAGTCACGATTCTTTCGGCTGAAGCGGAAAAGATTCACTCTGAATATTGAATAGTTTAGCGCGAATTAACAGAAGCCGGATCGGAATCTGACGCGTACTCAGTCTGTTGTCGTTTAAGAGGTGTTCTCGATGTCTTAAGTATATTTTAATCATACATTATTTTGTATTCGATTTGTAGTTACAGTATAACAAACTATACGGTCCATGTCTTTTTCGCCATAAGTTAATTGCCCTTTCTTGGATTATTGCATTATTATTGAAATTAAACTGAACAGTTTATAAAAGAGGGAGTATTTCTTATGTGTAATATTTGATCTATAATGATCTGCGCATGTTTTGGTACTGCATGTGCAGACGTGTGTCATTGAGCTCCGCACTAATAGTCAAATTTTGAGTGAAATTTTGATTTAGTGACTCGAAAGTCAAATTCAAATCCCAGTGCCAAATCCCTTCAAGAAGAAAACGAAGCTTTGAAGAATTAAGCTTCTGACTTATAATCTGTGTTCCAGTTAATCTCAGCTATGTTTTTAAGGTAACCTTTTTTCTGTCCCTTATCTTTTGTACAACTTAATATAATTTTTGTGGACCTGTTAATTTAATATACCATGCATGAGTGCGTATTTTGTTTTAAATAGACACTGCCCACCTAGACTAAGACTAGCCTTTGCTATTTGTGGGCAGTGAAAAAATAAAATTGTAAATATCTGAATAAAGCAATAAATGGAAAATGAAATACAAATCAGACTTTTTAATTTAAGAAGGACCATATTATCTAATTACAATCAAAACGCTATTCAAAACGCTCAGTTCCTTGGCATTCGACTCCTGAACATGAGTCGCCAGTTTGGCGGCTTTTCTCTACAAGTTGAGGTGCAAAATTTCATAAAATCGGAATATTTCATATTATTACTGAATGATAGCCCGCTAGTAAGCTCTCCATTTATGACGAGGGCGTGAAGCTAGCCGCGAGATAACGCGCGAGCGCGAGGAGCACTCAAGAGTCATCCCTCGCACTCGCGTCTTCTTTCGCGTGCTGTTCTCGGGCGACTTCTCGCGCCTCCCCCAAATGGAGAGCTTGATGGCAGGCTAACTGAATGATAGCTGTAGTTCTTCTCAAAGTTTCGCCATAACAATCACGTTCAAACCGAAAAATTATGGCAAAAAATTCGTCATAATTCAATGCCCATGCAGCAGGTATTTTTGTCCTAAGTTTCCGTGAAGAGGTTTGGCGAGAATGTTAAGAATAGAATCAAAGTCAAAAAGACTACTGCAAAGGCTGATCAAACAACGCGTAAAAGGCTGAGGTATTCAATATTTCGACCGGCCAAAACCAGTCTTCATCAGGTTATTAGGGAAAACCAAGAATATGCAAATTATATACTAATGGCATGGTAAGATGTGGCTGCTAAGAAAAATAAACCGAAAAAAAGATAAAGATTACACAATGATTATTGTTCTTCACGTTTGGGGCATTCCCAGAGGCTCGATGGTTTTGGCTTTACGAATGAGGTGCGTCTCACGTGCTTTCCTAAGACAATCGCGTTCATATCTAAGTGTTTCAAGTGTGATAAGTAGTTATGGGAAATAGAGTGGCTATTGCTGAGAAAGTATTCTGAAACTACGGTTTGGATGTAACTACCGGAGGGGTTAAGTATAGGGCGTCTATGTTCATTAAAACGGTCCTTGAGGCGGCGTTTGGTTTGTTAAATGTGACCCTTTCACTCATTTCATTAATAAATAGTTTTCTTTTCCTAAGCACAGGGATTTTTCTATCCCCGGGACCTTTTTTTGTAGAGCCCGTATTAAAACCTGATCGGGCTCTCTAATATCTCTTCAAAATCTGACTGATGTCTTAAAAACGGAGGACGCTACGTGGAGTAGCTGTTTCAGGCCGAGCCTGCGTAGCCTGCGAACTTGCTCACTTGTGCGAATTCGGGGAAAATTATTTTGGCGGCGGAGCCGACATCCAGCGAGGAAAAACCCATTCAGGTCAACCCGCAAAATTTTTCCCTGAACTCTCAAAAGTGAGCCTGCTCGATAAATTGCGGAGAGAAGGTAATAAATCCGTGTTCTCCTACACGAATACAAAAAATCCAAATAAAATATCTTCATGTAACAAGTAACTATGTGTCACTCAACATAACTATGCATCACTACCCATCACCACCTATCACTGTCCATCACTACACATCACTACATATCACTATATATCACTACACATCACTACATATTACTACAGATTACTACTCATCACTACCCATCACTACACATCACTACCCATCATTACACATCACTATCCATCACTACTCATCACTACACATCACTATCCATCACTACTCATCACTATCAATCACTACACATCACTATCCATCACTACACATCACTGTCCATCACTACACAACACTGTCCATCACTACACATCACTACCTATCACTACACATCACTACCCATCACTACACATCACTACACATCA